AAAATTGTGAAGGTATGTCCAGTCAATGTTCAGCTCAGATCCTGATACCAGACTTCCAGGCGAAACTTCTGGAGATGAGCCAGTCGAAGCTTGATGCTTCAATCCAGAAAGCGATTAAGGGCCTCGGTAAGACGGAGCTGGAAAATGTCCGTCTCTCGGCTGAAGAGCTCGATGAAGAGATGGAGGTAAGCAGAACTTGATATTAGTTTCGCCACCGCATCCGAAAGAGCATCGCTCTAGGCTGTTCAAGAGAAAAGGGCCGCCATGGGACATCCATCGTTGAACGCAGCTGGTCGACTTGTGCTACGAGTAGGTGATGATCTGTCACTGGTCGCCTGTCACTAACCTCAGCTTTCCAGCACCGTTTGGTTAAGAAACGGCAAGCCGAGGTAGATGCGGAGATCCAAGACACTGTCAATAGGCTTCGTGGCACAGAAAACACAGAGCGGCTTGATGCTGAGCTCGAGGAAGATGTGAAGGTATTCAATTTTCTATCTGGTGTCACCAGGATCTAAATCGAAGCCAGGTGCTGGAGAAAAACCAAGGAAGACCGTTTGATGCGGAGAGCAGAGCCCTTGTCAAGGTTTCCGTTAACAGCCTTTTCTTTCATCGCTTTCTGACTTCAGCTTTCAGGCCCAATTGGCCAAGGAACAGCAAGACAGGCTCAATGCCAATATTGCCCTTGCCAAGACATCGGAGATGCTGAAACTTCTCGAGATGGAAGACGACGAAAAACAAATGGACAAGCACGGCGAAGCGAACCAGAGAATCGACGCCCTCTCGAAAGAGCTTTTTGCCTTTGCCGTGGCCTGTGTTAGAATGTAAAGAAAATACAGTAGAATAGTTCAATATGACTCCTTTTTCTTGCTTTTTTTTCTTGTGAGGCGCTGGCAAAGGTGGGAGTTTGATTCGCTCTGAAACTAACCTCAAATAAACGAGCCACCGGCGAGATTCGAACTCACACCTCACCTCAAGGGAGGTCAAGCCTGTCACGACTAGTGACAACGTACCATTGCCCTCAACCACAACCATCGAATATGGCCGACGAAGCTCATTCGACCGAGAAAAGCTTTGATAATTTCTATACAACTATAGCTTCCATTTCACCGCAAAGCGCGAGCGACAGGATAAGAATGAAGGTGATACCACGTTTCCAGCCGCGACCGTCAACTTACCTAGATCCAGGCCACTAATGCAACTCTTCTTTCCTTGATTGCGACTTTATCCCAAGTGGGAGTTTCCCATGTCTCCATCTCCCCAGTCACGGAAATTGGTACGTTACAAGGCAAATAAGGTACAGCCACAAAGTTAACACTGTCTCAGCGTCGATTACTTTCGAAATCAAACCAAAATATTTGCATGACCATGGGCGAGAGCCGACTAATCTGCAGCTTGGCAGCTCAGGTGGTCCCTACGATCTGCGTTTTGTCCAGGGTACACTTCTTTCAGAGGTAGAGAGTCGCCGCTGATACAAGGAGATGCAGCACGCCAAAATGAAAAACGATTGGTTTGTGGTCACAGACGGCGTTGTGCCTGGAATATACCAGCCAGGGTGAGCTGATATCCTTTCGTTTTGTCAGTACGTCGCTTATCTTCTTCCAGGGGATCGTTCAAGGAAGTGATGCTGTCGATCTCTTCTTATCCCTGGCAGCTAAGGAGCAGCTCCGAATCTGGGACTCGAGCGGACCTATAGGACGGGTCAAGGTGTCGGAATACGACCAAGAATCATTGGACGAAGCTGAACAAGCTCAGGGAATGTAGTCCATGTAATCCAGGTATCTCACAATTTAATCTGAATTGTCTTGCGCAACAAGTTTCTGAGCAAGATAAGATTGATTTCTCTACGTGGAAGGAAATACACGACGCTCGATGTTCAATCGCTGTCTATATGATAAAGAGGTAGCGACTCTAGCTCGACTTTTGGCATCTCCTCTTTTTTAACCAGCTCCAGTTTATGGTCGTTGAGCTTGGGCTCAGGTTTGACAGTAAGTTTGACCTCCTGCGACGCTCTCTGACGACGAAGAACCCAGACCTCGTCGACCTCAGGATAAGAAGGATCCAAAAACCTGACCTGATCATACACGCCATATTGCTGGAAAGAGTATGGCATGCAATTGTTGTAAAGTATATGCGAGAATACCTGGCAAAGATCGGTCAGTTCCAGGTTTCCAGCGTAGAACAAGCGCCCACCGATATATGATCTGCTCTGCAGATTGGGTCGTCTTCTTGTTCGTGTCGAAGCTCGGGGAATTGGCGCAACATTTCAGTGTGGACGATATCCAGAAAGCGCCGAGTTTCCCAACGTTGAACAGTGACAAGATAATCGTTCTCGAATTCGTTGCAGAGATAGATGCAGTGTGCCTCGTCCAAGGCGACGAAATCAAAGGCGGACGGCTTGGGCTTTTTCTGTGGCAATAATGGTGAGGTTCCTTCAATCAAAACAGATTCGAACTGACCAAGAACCGATGATAACGACCGTCGATCATGACAGCGGCGTAAGGGTTCTGTAGACTCAATCAGAATATCTCCACAGCTCAGCACAGAGAAAGACTTGCCGGTTTTTCTTCCATTGTGAAGCCAGAACAGCGAACTGGATGAGGTGAGACGGGCAAACGAACCAGGTATTTTATTTAAGGTAACTTACATAGCGCCTTTTTGTCATTATTTAGGATTTCAAGCTTTACGGCTACAAGATTCGCGCTAATTTTTCCTTTATAGATTTTCAGGAAGAAAGGGAAGATTTCAATCCATACCTAAACCTGAATCAGCTGAAATTTGAGACTCACAGAGGGTGGCCCACTGCACATGGTTTCATCTGGCGAGTCCCAGCTCCATAGACTGAATTCGGTTGCAGCGGATCGATCGTCAAGGTAAGGTGACATTGAGGTCCCCGTCCGTCATTTAAAATTTCAAGCTTTACGACCCCAAGATTGGTCAACCGGTGGCTGCGGATCCTTGTCCGTTGTCAGGCTACTTGAATTGAATGGAGGATCCTGCCGCTGTCACTTCTTATTTCCACTGCCACAACCCGGTTCAAGTGGCGACCAAGCAGCCTGGACAAGACTCTTTCCCAAATCAGGTTCAGCAATCTTTCATCCAAAACATACAGCAGAGGAGTCGCTATTGTAGGATGCACTGACATCAGCCATCAAAAGGTCGATCTTCGATCTCAACTGCGGCCATCAAAAGCTTGATTCTCAGACGTGCGACCGAAGTCATTGATGGCCGACTCCAACCTAGCCACCACTTCAACCATGAGCTGAAGAAATCAGTGGAATCAATATGTTATTTCCGCAGTGAGTTTTCACCTCCTTTGGTTGCTCATGGCTCATCGACAGTAGGCTCAGTATGCTAATGTCGTGACTGGCATCCCCGATTTTCTCGACCAGAAAAAACTGGAAGAATAAACATGCCCTGGCGCGTAATATCCGGTCATTGCATACATTCATCCGTAATATCCGGTCCGGAGAAAAAACGCGCATTTGTATCGCTTCAGGACTGCATCTCAGCCAGCAACATGCCCCAAACCAATCAGACCCACGATTTCGCTCCGATGTCGACTACGAAACTCGTCTGCGGCAGACCTTGATTTTGTCACTCCAGCAGCTGGAGAGGTTTGTCCAGTTTGTATCCCAGAAGGTTTCTAACTTGCCGCCCAGAATTACTGTCCTATACGATGTCGGCTGCCAAAATGTGGTTCAAACTAGTAGAGTTCGCCGAAGGTATGTTCTGCATAGCCATCTCATTCTGGTCCTGATTTGCTTGGTTCTAGAATCTCACCCAGAGTATCTTCAGTCAGTCCTACTTCGACTGCAAACTTGAACAATCTTGAGTAGTGTATTCTACGTCCTGGACTGGAAGCTTCTCGAAATACGATTCTGTGCCGTCATAGGGAAGCTCTTCTTCCTCGAAATATGATTCTGAGCCCTGAACTCCAAGGTTGCTCTCGTTGTCATGTTCATCATATGGATGCTCTTCATCCTCGAAATAAGAGTCGGCAATAAGAAACTCTTCAGCTGTGATGGGTTCTGGTGGCTCTGGGACTACTATGTTGTGTAGGATGCATGGGAGTATCTGAGAGCACTGTTATAGACCAAACATTGATATGGAAATATGTGGCGCACCCTCAAATATATTTCACGATGTCGGTCATAAAGCTCGCCATCGACGATAACCTCGACATAGTCAGAGTACATCATCAGGAGGTCTTCGTACAGGTCCTCGATGACTTTAATCCCAAACTTGGGATCTCCCTTTTTCAAGGCGTCAACATACCGTCGGACGTGTCCCCGGAGGTCAACATAATTCAAAATCTCGTGGGTCAAAACGACAGCTCTGAGACGTGAGTCAGGGAGTTAAGCAGAGAGATGCAGTAACCGGACCTAGGACTTTGGCCGTCGGTATAGTATATAGGTGTTCTCCAGCCCCAGCGTCTACGCCAATGTCAATTTCAGTGCGACGATGGAGATAACAAGACCCACATCTCCTTCTCTAACGGTAGTAGGTACTCAAAAATGGATTCTCGGTCATGAAATGGGCAGCGGCCCTGGTCTTCGCAGCGACCCAGGCCCAGCGAGGCGAACCACGGACATGGCATGTCGAGTTGAAGCAAGTTGAAGGCTAGTTCGGCCTTCAAAGTGGCAATACATAAAAGAAAGCGACTTGCCGGATCACCTCAGAGTCAAATAACGTAGTATGACAGTCAATAGTGCCTGACTTCGATCTCCAAGTCGCAGACCTTGCGACTAAGTAACACGAAAGGAGAACATAAACGTAGCTCAGCCTGAACTATGAGGAAAACATGAATCGTTGAGCCAAGATGAGAAAACAATCCAAGCCGTGTTCTTGCAGGCTGGAAACGAGAGAGTAAACCTTGACGGAACAACTAGCCAGTTCCGGAAATTCATGAACGAAACAACCGAGCGGCAGTGGGTGCCAAACTGCATAGCTGTACCGGTAAAACAGAGAAAAAAAGAAACGAACAGTTTTTAAAAAAAAAACGCTACCAGAGGGATTCGAACCCTCAACCACCGGGCCGAGACTTGGGAGGATATGATATTCTCCAATCGGCGCTCTTCCAATTGAGCTACAGCAGCTTACAACAACATAGCTCAGCCTGCATAGATATTCTCAACCTGAATATGTTTCAGTCACAAAATTCATGAACGAAACAACCGACCGGCAGTGGGTGCCGAACTGCATAGCTGTACCGGTTTAAACTTCATCATTTTGGCGCATCACTCGGGATTCCCGACGTGCGAAGCCCAACTCTGTAGCAGAACAATCCTCGAAAATTTGAGCAAGGAGTGAAGAACTACAATATTTATCATTTATATTATTCTTCTGCTACGGTGAACCCAAGACCGTCGTTGATGTGTGCCTGCTGGAATAAAAAGCTCTCGCTGAGGAATCTTTTCACAGTGAAGTCGTAGCTACGAGTGACTTCAATACGTATCTCGTTGGCCCAGCTGGCGACCAGCAGCAGAGAATGCTTCGCCTTATTGTGTTCCGTTGAACCGTCAGGGTTTTCAGATTTATCGATGATGGCCTGGAGCTCGGTGACCATCGCAAAAAGACTGGGTCTATGCTTGGTTTCAATGTAGTCCGTGACAACGGCCTGCAGAAAACGTCTTGTATTGCGACAGGTGAAGCTTTGAACCTGGTCCAGGACAGTGGAAGGACCGGTGGTCATCGTGGAGGGACCGTTTGAGAGAGCCAAAGCCCGGTTGGGACTGCTCTGAGCCTGGGCATCGGCAACGCTGAAACAGGAAGCTTCAGTGGATAAGCAGGATGATTCAATGAGAGGCGCACCGTTTAGCCTTGGCCCTGCGCTTATTTGCTGCAAGACGCTCCCGTTTCTCCTGTTCTGCTAGTCGAGCTGCTTGCCTAAAGCCAAGCTCGAATCAGCAAAAAGAAAGCAGAGAATTGAATACGAACCGTAGTAGATTCTCCTGATGTCTCTCCCTTCGAGATTGATTTCTTTTCTCCTTGTGCCTGAGACAAGAGATTAGCAACGACCAGCAAATGAGGCGAAGGAGGTACTTCTCATGGTGCTTTCGGTTCTGAAGGGCATTAGCCGCACGACGTTCTGCTGCTGAATGATACACCTTGGGCCTGGCCATCCGGCTTGGTCTGAGATATTGATTCGAGGTGGTGGCTGTAAGAGAAACCGACTGCAGTACTCGGTCAAGGATGCCATCGTCTGACTTTTTGCCTACGGCAGCGACTGTGATAATTTTGGTACCAGCTTAAAGCTTGACATAGCTTGAGTGTTTTCCCCAGAGAACTAATCTCCTGGGGCAGTGAACAGAGCAGGGGAAAAAAACATGTTTTGGCGATTTTCTCCGGATATCAGATTGCCGGTGTTCCGGCCGCACTGCGGTGCACTTTAATCTCAGGTCAAGTCCCAACCGTAGCATTGTACTAGCTATCGTATAGGAGAAACTATGCTCTGAGACTGGCTTCAACAAAGTGCGCGCAAACTACTACATTCTTAGGTTATACAGGTCGGATATGTTTGTACATTCTTCGAGGAATTAAATGAGGTCGCTAAATGTTCAGAGCTCTGAGACAATGTTGAGCAGAGCTTGGGCAATCGAGATAAACTCAGCAATGTTAATGGGGATTTGGGTGAGGTTTTTGAGGATAATGGCAAGCTGCTCTGCGGGCATTTGCGTGTTCAAGCCTCTGATTTTGTTGTCATCAAATCCGGCTCGAGCGAAGGCGGCGAAGGCTGCCTCATGCTGAGAAAGCCTGCAATTTGCAAGGGCTCTCTTGAGATAGACGGACTTTGGAAGCTGAAGTGAGAATTAGATAGTATCAAATCGTTTGACAGATCAGCTAACCCGATCGACCGACAATCTGACAATCTTTGATGCACTTGGGGTATTCTGGGAGGGATAAGTCCGACCTCGACCAGCGTTAGCTATCTTTGCTTGGAGGTTTCTGGCTCCGACGACACGGCTGTCCTGTGGCTGAACGGTTTCAACATCTTCGTCCTCGTCCTCGTCATCGTCGATGTCGATAACTTGTTCTCCCCCATCCTTTTCCGACTTGTGCTGCCTGGACCAGCTGTTATATTTCTTCGCGAGGTAAATCAGGATAAAAGTGCGTCTTCGAAGTTGAGCTTAAAGACCCACCGAAGCTCTTGGGGTATTCTGGGAGGGAGTTCCACCTCGACCAGTGTTAGCTCTCTTTGCTCGTAGGTTTCTGCCTCTGACGATACGGCTGTCCTGTGGCTGATCTATTTCAACATCCTCGTCATCGTCATTGTCGACGTCCATGACTTGCCCTCCCTCATCCTGTTCCTTGTGTTGCCTGGACAAGCTGTTATATTTCTTCTCGAGGTAAACCAGGATTAAAGTGCGTCTTCGAAGCTGAAGCTCTGGATCGTCTTGAACGTAGAGACGATCCTGGAATTCGTCGACAACCTTGAAGGAATAAGTGACATCCCTAGTGAAGAGAAGACGCTTACATCTCGCAGAACAGAAATCATCAAGGTATCGACTTGCTCCCATGGAAGTCCCAGTTCGACTTTAGCATGGATGAGGGCTGCTATAGTGTTCTGGCCAGGTTGAGGCTTGACGCATTAACTACCGCAATAAAGAGACCTACCTGAAATTCCAGGTACTCTGATCTGTCTTTTGGATCCAGTGCTTCAATGAGGGTAGGCGAACCTATCTGATGGCTTCGTCAGTATCCTGTCAGTTTTGCAGCCTCTGGCGGTACTGACTATAAGGGATTTCTGCGAGTTGATACCGGACCTTGCTTTCAGAGCTGGAGGTCCCTTTTTTTGAGCCATTGAACAATATTACAGCGAGTAGATGATTTTTGTGCTTGTAGTCAGTGGCAAAGCCGATGAAAAGTGGTGTCACTCGGGGCCGAGTAACATTTCCCATCACGTGCACGTCAAAGCCTGCGTTGAGTCTTGACCGCAGTTCGTCTTCAACAATGTCGGACCTCGCCGAGCCATATCCTGGATTCTCGACCAAAATCACACCCAGACATCTTTTGTTCTCTTCTTCCATCTCCTCTCCTCTCTATCCTCATGCTTTCTTTAGCTTGTCCCTTCCTCGACCAAGGCAACCTTTTCCACCGGCTGCCTATAGGGCACCCAGAGCCAGTAATTTAATGTTATTGGCCTACTCCATGGTCTTTACCGGCTCGCGTCTCGTTGGCTCCAAGGCCGCATCTTGTATCTTAGTGGTGCGTTGTCCAGTACCACCTTATCACGTGTTTGCTCATCTATTTCTAGTATCTCTTGTACATTTGTTGTGTCCTTTGGCGGCGTAATGTATATTTTCTTTTCTCCAATGGATCACGATTTGTTGTTTTTCTTGTGTTCCAGCAGAGACTCTCCCATACCCGAAGGCCTAAGTTTTCTTTGCTTTTTCACTCGAGAAACAGATTCTCCCTTACCCGAAGGCCAATGAACCAGGCTCATTTGTCGGCAGACCGAATTCCTGTGTAGAAGGACGGCAGCCGTACTAATCTGCGCTACGGTGAGCCACTTTCTCTTTCTTGGCACCAAGGTGAGTATTTTTCCACAGCAACATGTCGTAGACTAACTCACCGACAGGGAAGACCCAATAATCTTCAAGACCAGATCCCATGAAGCGCTCGCCAGGCTACGAAGTCGCAGAGCGCTAGGGTCTGGTCCTTTCTCTTTGGTGGCACCAAGGTGAGTACTTTTCCATGGCGACATGTCGTAGACTAACTCGCTGACGGGGCAGACCCAATAATCTTCAAGACCGGATCCCACGAAGCGCTCGCCAGGCTACGAAGTCACAGAGTGCTAGGGTCTGGTCCTTTCTCTTTCTTGGCACCAAGGTCAGTATTTTTCCACAGCGACATGCTGTAGACTAACTCACCGACAGGGAAGACCCAATAATCTTCAAGACCGGATCCCACGAAACGCTCGCCAGGCTACGAAGTCGCGGAGCGCTGAGGTCTGGTCGTTTTTGCTTGGATGTCAGGATTCCCAAGGTTGACCAAGGGGGAAAGATTAACTTTCGCTTGGACTTTGGGACTCCTGAGGTCCACCAAGGGAGAATGAGTGACAAATCTGCACCAATGTGAGCACTTTTCGACGGTTATATATCGTAGACTGACGTACCGAGAGGAAGATCCAATAATCAAAAAGACTAGATCCCACGAAGCGCTCTTAGGATCTGGTCGGCGTACCAAGGGGTGTTGTAAACATCTACAGGAAGGCGAGCTACTTTTCGACGGCAACAGATCATAATCTGATTCGCAAACCAGGACAGACGTCGAGTTTGACCCCTGGTGGATTCCTGCACGAAGGTGAGTCCTCAGAGAGCTCGGTGCTAACAAAATCTCAATATCCACCATAGGCTCGGCCGCCTGACGTAGCACTTGTGCAAAAAGGGCTACTCCAGGCGGCCTGAAGGTGCCAGACAACCAGCTGCTTCACCTTTTGCACTGGTGATGCAGCAGGAGATATCGCGACATGAAGGTTGAGAGGAGGCGGGGAAAAAGATGCTGTCCATATGGTGCGTCCGGATCTCAACGCCAAGAAATCGAAAAATCGAATTAATCATCGATCAGAATTGGCTCGTCATCAGGTCTCCCTTTGACTCCTTTACCGCTCCATTTACCTTGCATGGCGACTCCTCAGAAGAGGAAACGAGGAAAACGAGGAGGGAGCTCGAAAAGCTCGAAACGAGGCAGTTCTTCCACCGCTAAACGTGCTAGCAATTTGAAAACAGATCTTGTCCGTGGTAGTCATGCTCGTATGCTGAGAACAGGTCAGTTACCACGATGTCTCACCGTCAAACAAAAACTGATTATCTGTGGCCAGTAATTGAAGATCCACTGGTCTATCCTTCTCATTTCCTTCATCATGCCATGGAGCAGGAGCAAGTCCGGAACACTGTACAATCTATCAGCACGTACCTACCCGGGATATTCCTGTTCTGGATCTCGACGGAAAGCAGCTCTTCCGCATCAATGTTCCGTCCAGCATCTTAGCTCTCCTTTCCAAAGACTCTATTCCCCACCCTGATATCCTCTTTCGACTCTTTGATAGTGTTTCTGTCACTGTGAATCGAGAGATTCTACGGCTTCATGCCGCCTA